CTCCCCCGAGAGTGTTTCACCAGCACCCATCCCACCACCTGGGTCCTTGTGAAGCATCTGTGTCCTGAGGCACCAGCGCGGACCCTGGGCAGTGCCCACATGCGTAATCATCACTGCCTCCATCCTGTGCACAGTGCCAACGCCAAGTCCAAAAATGTGGGAAAGTTTATTTCTCCCAAACATTCCTGATTTGTAATGTGCTTTCTAAAAGCGTTCTCGCTGATCAAGCCCTTGCTATATTTAGCCGCAGCACTGAAAAGCCACGTTCTTTTTAAGGCGGGCCACAAGATGGAAGGGTTTAGCAAAAGTCCTCTTCAGGTCCCCGTCATCACAGGAGAGGAGTCTGGGCTCTCCCTTGCCCCACGGAGAGCCTCGGTGCTAGAGCAGAAACAGAGGTCTTTTGTTAACCAGAGAACTCATGTGCCTGGACCTCAGGTCCCAGGAAGAGTCCTTGGAGTCCTCGCGCTGCCTAGACACAGCAAGGAAGTGAACAGGGCTTTCTTTCTGCTGTCCCTGGGAACTGTTCCCTCTGCCCCCATGCTCTTCCTGATGTCCCCTGCTGTCCTTCCCCACTGAGCCAGCAATTTCTTTTGCTTTGTATCTTGAGTTCACATGCTCAGGCCATCCCCAAGAGATAAACTAAATGCAGCAAAAGATGCCAAGGGGCTAGCCTGGGTCTGCTCAGGCTGGGGAGAGGATGGGCAGCCTGCAGAATTGCAGCTCCTTGACACAGTTGTCCCAGAGAGCGTTCCAAGACTCAGAGGTCTCCAAGAGAGGGTGACCTAGAGACCCTCACACATACCAGCCAACTTAACTGTGACTAACGCAGGCACAGTGGACTTATGCCTATCTGGTGGGTCACTCCTTGTGACAGCTCTGTGGGGCAGAAGGAGTGGCAAATGTTTCCTGCATTGGGTGTGTGACAAAAGGCAAGAGCTAGAGAGTTTGGTGGCCTTGCCAAAGTCAAGGTGGAGCTGGGTCTCTGACCTCTCTAGACACAGTCAATGCCTCCTTCCCATCCTGCCCAAACATCAAGTCCCAACGGGTGAGAAGCTAGTGGGAAGCTGGTGGCGGGAGGGTGCAGAGATGGGAACATGCCCGAAGAATGTGGTGGTGGGTGGTGGACGGTGGGCAGCTGCAGAGCAAGGATATGGGGGCCAGGCACCATTGGACATCATGAGGATATGAGTCACCACTGAAAGCCAGCCCAGTCCACCTGACCCATGAGCAACAGGGTGTGGCCCTGTCCCCTCCAAGAGGACTTGTGGGAGACACTGCCCTGCAGCAAAGACACCGTCATGGCCTCCCTCCCCTACACTGGTAGATGACACCGCAATCTGTGGACACACATTCTGGTTTTTGTTGTTGTTGTTGTTGTTGTTTTTGTTTTTTTGTTTTTTGGGGTTTTTTGTTTTGTTTTGTTTGTTTGTTTGTTTGTTTTTGTTTTTTTGGGACAGGGTTTCTCTGTGGTTTTGGAGCCTGTCCTGGAACTAGCTCTTGTAGACCAGGCTGGTCTCGAACTCACAGAGATCTGCCTGCCTCTGCCTCCTGAGTGCTGGGATTAAAGGCGTGCGCCACCACTGCCCAGCCTGGACACACATTCTGGAAGGACAGTGTGGAGTCTGTCACATCCAGAGAGCCACTGGAAAAGGGTGACCTTGTGCTTCGTGACAAACTAAGACAAGGCGAGCACAGTCAGACACAACCTTCCCAACTCAGCAGCCCCCTCTTGGGCTCTGAGGTATAAGGGTGGAGACCGAAGGACCCAAGGTGTGACCCTGGGAACTGTGTCCAGTTCCAGATCTTGTACACCTAAGGAGCTCTGGATTAGAGCCTAAAGATGCTGTGTCCTCTCGGAGGCTTGCCCAGAAGGGACCTGGTCTCCAGGATGTCAAGGTTCAACTGAGTATCATCTATCTTGAGTGCCATAGCTGTGGTCAGGACAGCGGCCACTAACTGGTCCAAGAAGGACCTTCCAGTTCATCATTCATGCTTCATTTGCCTCCCCACACCCTTTCCCTCGCCCTGCTCTGCCCAAGTGTGCAGCAAGTATATAGCTTATCTTCTATAAGCCATGTTACCTGGTCTTCCTTGCAGCTGGCACTGGGGCAGGTTATAGCCAATCAGAGGTATTGGTGGCATAAGGCAGGCAGGTCAAGGGGAATGGGGGAGGGGTGGAGTTGCTGGGGTGGTGCTGGAGGCTGGAGGGGAGGGGAAGGTAGACCATGTCCTCACCCTACTGATGCCTCTAGTGTCCTCACCGAACCCTCAGTCCCCACAAAAATGATCTGAGACATTGATCTGAGTGAGTTTTAACTTCCTATAGGACCCTGATTCTCAAACTTGCTAGAAAAAGAGGCTTGAGACCAACGTTTACCCCCACAGCCTCCCCTTCCTCCTTCTCACCCAGTATTAACAAGGACACCCAACGATCAAAGATCCCAGTCCCCATGATGCACATAGCCAGCTCACACCCAATCTGGTCTATGAGCCACATATCCGTCTTGCCCAGGGTCACTGGCACTTGGATGCCATTTGAAGGGACAGGATATTCCCCCTTCAGGTCTCAGCCCTTTCTGTGGCCCTTCCCAAGTCACTGTAAGCACCCTGGCATCTCCCTCGTCCTGAAGAACCTAGCCCTGGGACCTTGAGGCAGGAGCGGCATGGCAGACCACTTTTCGTTGCGCTATTTTTAAGCTACTTTGAGTGCATAGCAAATGAGTTCTACTTTCCCCACAAGTTCATGTTCTTTCTCTTTAATAGCAGGTGATTTTATCATTGATCTTTTATACTCCGTGAAGCAATCATTATTTCCAACACCACGAGGCCGGGCCATGCACAAGGCTTCAGCTCTCCATTGATTCCCACGCGTAGGTTTCGGTGGTGGGAACTTGAGGCTGCTGGCACAGGGGCAGGCCAGCCCTGGCTCTAGCTATAATAGTCACCATCTGTGGCCCCTTCTTTAACTCACATATCAACAGTAACTAAACACTCCTTGGAATGGTGAGGAGAACACACGGACCCAGGGTCCTTCTGAGAAGGGCTGGAGTTAGTAGCCACCCCCTGAATGCCCTGGTCAGGTCTAGTTCATGTCCTTGAAAATGTGTCAGCTCCCTGGTATCCAAAACATCTGGTCTACAAAACACTCTACTGATAAAAGTAGCAAAGGCCTCAGCGTTAGGGTGTCTTCTAAGACACAAAGTCTGGGTTAGCCTCATCGTGGTAATGCAGAAACATGGATAATCTGTCCTAGTCAGAACTATACAGAAAACGAAACTGTGGAAAGCTGCATACAGGCCTAGGGAGGTGGCTCAATGGGTAAATGCTTGTTGTAAAAGTTTGAGGACCTGAGTTCGGATCCTCAGAACCCATAAAAAGCCAGGTGCTATAGAGTAGGAAACTCTGATCTCCTGGCTTCTGCAGAAAGATTTGAGGTGGGGTCAGGGGACTCCAGAAGCTGGTGGGTCAGCTAGCCCTACACATACAAAAGCAAACAACAGACACGCTACTTCAAACAAGATGGAAGATGGAGACTGACACTGGAGCGTGTCCTTTGACCTCCACATGCGTGCCATAGCACACATACAACCACACTCCTATAGATGAACATCACACACGCGCGCCAGTTTAAAAAAGGAAGTCCTATGGAAAACCTCAGAATTCAGTACTCGATCCAAATACCACCTACATGCAAAAGTCTCTGAGTGCCCATGCACACTGCACAGATATGTAGATATTTACATGTGCACGCACACACAGGCATGCGTGTTGGCATAAGTACACACGTTCATCATTAACGTAGCTGTCATCGCATTCAGTGGACTCGCCTGCATGTGTGAAAGAGAGGCAGGCTGGCAGGCAGGGACAGAGAGAGACAGAGATCCAGTAAGAAACAGAGACAGATGCACAAAGAGAGAGGAAGTGCACGGCTATCAGAAGAGACACAGGCTGCCTCCATCCCTTTGTTCTGTGAAGAGAGACAACCTTCTGATTGCGTGAGAGTGGAGCCATAGTCTCGCTCCTGCTTCCCACTAAACATAACCGGAGTGCTGTCTTAATTACTAACAGAGATCTACTTTTCCTTTGTTTTGTTTTGTTTTTTGGGCAGGATCTCACTGTGTAACCCTAGGCGGCCTGGAACTCCTTTGTAGATCAGTAGACCAGGCTGGCCTTGAACTCAGAGATCACTCTGACTGCCTCTGCTTCCTGAGTGCTGGGATTACTGGTGTGCTCCACCATGCCTGGCCTGAAACCATTTCTTGGTCTAGCTGATCTATAACAACAGCAGCAGCAACAACAACAACAACAATAATGTAGTAATAGTAATAATTATCATCCAACCGTATAGCCAGTTATACACATGGGACATTAGAGCAGAGGTTTGGCTAGTGAGGATCCAGCGCCCTTCCTTTTCCTCAGAAAAAGAAACCCACAGAGACTAACACAGACTGGATAGAAAACATCTTCGCAGCCCAATTCTCCAGCGATTTTGTGCCTGGTGAAAGCTGAAACTGGATGGAATCTTTCTGTGTAAACACACAAAGTAGATACATGCCCTTGCATCCGTCTGTCCCTGAACAACGATGTCCTTACAAATGCCTTTTGAATTATAACCCTAAAATACCACCTTCTATGAACAGCAGTATTAAATCAATTGTTTCTCCAAAAGTCGGTTGTCACAAATCAACAAACACACATGAGACAGCATGTCAAACACAAGAACGAAAAGAAAAACTAAAAGCACCCAGCACAGCAGAACTGCCCACTCTTTCTGCTATTCAATCCCCTCCAGGGCTCAGAGGAGTTTCTGGTCCCTCTCCTGCAGCTTGTCTTCACCCTCTGAAGTCAAGGCTGCCAAAGAGGCTGACCGGGTTCCCGGATATAATCCCGCTCTCTCGTTCCTACTCCACTGTTTGTTTATGTCCCCATAATCCACTGAACCAGCCAGTGAGAGGTTAATGAAAAAACAACCTTTATTCAGAGGCTGAGCACATGGGAAACATCCAATGGCAGCCTGCCTGCTGCGTTCTGTTCAGTCCCAGCCACCTGAATCCACGGTGAGGTCCCAGCAAAGGCCTTCAGCTAGAGCCGCTGAACACCCTTCCCCATCTCCACACAGACCTGGTGGGACCCAGATTGGACTGTAGGACTGAATTGTTGTAAGAGATCCGACTCTCTTGACAACCAGACAGTATCCCTCCTGCCCAAAATGCTTTTCCCACCACTGACCAGCAGGGGACTTGAGAGTTCTTAGGCATTTTTGCACAAGTCCTGAGACTTGTCTGTGATTGTCTGTTTGGTTTCTGTTAGTAACAGGTCTAACTCTGTAGCACAGGCTAGCCTGAAACTCACAGCAATCCTCTTGCCTCAGCCTCCCGAGTACTGAGATTACAGATGTGACGTGGCACACCTTGGTGGTTGTGAGACTTCGCTCAGGGCCTATGCCCAAGAATCCTTCATTTTTGTACCTTTCTTACCCCCAGATAAAAGATAGTTCTTTAGTTCCTCAGGAAGTCAAACTTCAAGAACCCGTCAGAGAGCTAAAACACAGGCACCATGAAGGTCTACCAGTTTCCCCCCAAGCTGGAAGCTGAACTGAACTGTAACCAGCTCAATTGTCTTAGTCAGATCATTGTTGGTACCCTCCCAACATCTGGTCACCCCTATGTGTTTATTTAATGTCAGGATCTAGAGTCTCCTGGAGGGAACACTGACTTGGGGTGCCTCAGTGTCGCCTGGAGGCTGTGCCATGTAGAGGCACTTCTGTCCCAGATCAGACAGGAGTGTGCTTGCTCCCCCAGCCTTTCTGATTACATGGTGTCCTTTACTATGTGAGTCTGGAAAACGGAGAGAGAGAGAAAAAAAAGGAAGTTAGATCTTGAAAAACTACAGAAATAAAAATTCTGACCTTGAGGCGTATTAACTCCACACATGCCCTCCTGTGTCCCCTGAAATCGTTTGGTCCCTTAAAAAGAAAAAGCACAAACTAACAGAGGGCTATGCTGCTGCGGAAGGTACTGGTGTGCCACGCTAAGCCATGAGTGCCGGCCAAATATGGGTGCTTTGAAAGAAGCCAATAGCCAAGTGAGAGGAGCCTGGTTCAAAAGCCAAGAACAAACATCCTTTTAGTGTAGAGGAAGGTTTGTCTCTTCATATTGAGCATTGCTGCTCTGCCTGCTTCTCTTAGCCTTAGTTGTGAATGGTAACCAGGCCTACATCTCTCCCACACCCTGGGAACCACGGATCCCTGCATTCTGGATGCAAGCTCCCATCATCCAAAGAGGTCATAGCCAAGGCCTGGGTCACAAGGAATCCACTGAGCTGTCCACGGTCCAGTGGAATTTCCGTGTAGAAATGTATGCTATGCCTATAAGTCTTGCCCTCGGGTTCAGCAGGAGACTCGGGTCCTAATGAGGACCTGTGGTGGGCAAAGAGGGTCAGGCTATTTTAAAAACACCAGCGACCCAACGGGCCAACGGGGTTCCGCTGGTGATTGTTAGTGTTGAGTGGGCTGTGATCACGTCCTCTTTTAAGTCTGCAAAGCTTCCCACCGCTGGTTAAGTCATCTTCGGAGAAGGCAGACCAACACGACCCCGCAGTGCACCGAGTTTGGCCGGAGTGGGTACGCTGTTCTAAACACACAGTCGCCAGGGCAGAAACCTAGGTTACTTCTACACCCGTTCACCCGCAGGCAAGCTGTTGCCCGATAGCCGCAGCCTTTGCTGGCTGGAGGTGGGGGTTCGCGGGGCGGGGAAGCAGCTGCTGATCCGCCTTATTGGAAGCGAAGCACGGCGGCTTCGGGGACCTGCAGAGGGAAATAGGAAAGGAAGGGGATTCCCAGCTGGGAAAAGCCGCCCTGGACGTGCGGGTCGAACACTAGCGAAGCGTTGAAGGGAGGTGGTAGGCTGGATGAGGAGGCCAGCAGCGAGGCGCCCAGCAAGCCCGGCACGGACTTTGGGACCCCCGAGGCCTCTGCCCCTGAGGCCGGCTTTGGTCTCCCGGCCAAGATGCTGTCGATGCTGAAGCTCTTAGACTTGGAACCCTTGGGGGAGCCGCTGGGGGCGGGGCGCAGAGGGGATCCCGGGCGGTGCACAGTGCGCTCACGCTGGCCACCCGCCGCTGCCCCCCGCGCCCTGGGCTGTGCGGTCCGCGTCGGGGTCCCAGGGCTCGGGGCGGAACCAGGGAAGGAGCGCGGGCCGCGCGGTGCCTCCCGTCGGGGACTGAGCACGATCCGGTGCGCGCGGAGGGCGTGCAGTAACCAGGCCCGGACACCCTGAGTTGCAGCCCACTTCAGCCTCCGGCTGCTCCGGCTGCTCCGCCCGGGTGCGCTTGGCCTCCGGGGAACCCGCGGCGGGTTTGGGCTTCCTTTTCCTGCGCCGGTAGTTGCCGTTCTCGAACATGTCCAGACAGCGAGGGTCCAGTGTCCAGTAGCTACCCTTGCCGGGCCGCCCCTTCTCACGCGGCACCTTCACGAAGCACTCGTTGAGCGACAGGTTGTGGCGGATGCTGTTCTGCCAACCCTGGCGGTTGTCGTGGTAGAAGGGGAAACGGTCCATGATGAACTGGTAGATGCCATTCAGTGTAACCCTCTGCTCGGGCGCGTCCTGGATCGCCATGGCGATGAGCGCGATGTAGCTGTAGGGCGGCTTCTGCGGGGGCTCGGCGCGGCCAGGGCCGGCCAGCGCAGCGGCAGGGGTGAAGGCCAGGGGCAGCCCGGGCCTCTCGGGGCTGTACACATACAGCAACGGCGAGGCAGTAAGAGCGGCCAGCGGGGGACTGAAGAGGTGGCTCATGGTGACAGCAGCCTCTGCGCTCCGCCACCGGGGCAGCCTAGGGACTTCGCCCCGCGCCAGGGCCCTCCTGGGGAGCCCTCCGTGCGTCTGCCTTGCGATCTGCCGCTCTCTCCAGCTCTCTGCGCGCTCTGTCCCTTCTTCATGGCTTTAAAAATGTTAAATAATTGTTGTAAGTTTGCTATTATGTGTTGACTTAGCGCTGGAAAATAAATTGTCTATGATAAACAGTCCTTGTGTTCTCAGCCCACCCACATTAATTAAAATTTCATTGCTGAAAATCTCCCAGCTCTTCCCTCCACGTGTCTTTTTGATACCAGCCAATCGGTTTCGGGACTATTCCTCATTTGTTTATAGAATTAGTCTGTTGATAAGTCCGCCCACCCAAGTTGAATCAAGCTGTGTTTATTTGGAAAAATTTCCGGGCACCCAATATATAAACGCACTGATCTGATGTTTGAAATACCACGTCCACCCCTTGACGCTGTAAGCACACAGTCAGCGAGGCAGGATGTGGAGGGACGGGTGGCTCTCCCGGAGCTGGGTCTGCTAGGCCAGGAAGGAGGGATGGGGATGGGGGTGGGGGAGCAAACGGGTACATTTTAAAGCTGGGCTGGGGGACCCTCCCACAAAAAGAACTTTTATTTCCTTCCCCTAAGCTCAATAGGCAATTTAAAGATAGAGCTCTCCCCTGCATTTAGGGGAGATGGGAAGACACTAGACACACCTTTTAGAGGTAAGCACTCTTTAGGGGACTACTGTCCCAGAGGCCCCAACTAACAGAGTGGGGAGACTTAGGGAAAAAGGAGTGGGCCCCAGGAACCAGCCTTTTTTGCAGAGGAACAGCTCTGGGAAGCTGTAGGTGGACAGAGTACCTGGTCCCTAGCTCCATTAAAGACCGCAAAACAACCCCCACCCTGGAAAGTGGGGGTAAGGGAAAAAGGTCTTTCTGGTCTGGTTAAGTTTGCTAGCAAGGCACACCATAAAGGGGGGTGGTGGCAGCTGGTGGGGAGCTGGTGTTCGTGAATGTGGGTCTTTAGCTCCATACTCTGTGCCTTCCTGTTTATAACAAGGAGGGGGGTTACAACAGCTTTACAAGTGTGCACAGCTGGCTGGTGATTACATTAAGCATTTGTGAAGCCTGCGTGCTGGTCCCCCCACCCCACCCAGGGGTGTAAGCACGCCCCCGCCCCCGTCTCATTTTACATTTAGCCACGTCAAACTTTGAATCCAAACTCCTGAATGATGCTCATTCCAAAGGGGGCATCTCCCCAATTGGCTCCCCTCCAGTGGGGTAGGGATGCAGGTTAGCCTGGTGTGGCCCTCTCTGTTCACCATGTTTTGTCTGCCAGTGTTTTTTGAAAGGAAGTGGAAACGGTGTGAAGAACTGGGCTGGTAGCTGCCCCCTGGGTAATTTTCTGAAGAATTACTGGGGAAATGTTTGGAGGTGCAACTTGGTAAAGAAATAGCCTTCTGCCACCCATGGAGGATGAGACACACTGAGCGCCAGGGAGGGTGCCGGGTTTAGAGCAGTGGCTGGTACTCAGATGCTCTCTGAACGTGGAGAAGCTGGGTGACGATCGGTCCACTTGGAAGGGAGGAATTCAGATTATAGCCTTCGGGTTTAAGATGTCCTAGCGTCCTACCACCACAGACGAGCGAGGAAGGAAATTGAAAATGGAAGTTTTGCCACAGGTTGGAAACAACAACAACAACAAACAAACAAAACTGATTTTGATGAAAATGGGTCTGAGGGAGTGTCCAGCTAGCCTTTGCCCACTCAATCTCCCTCTGTGACAGCAGCGCTTCTAACCTGAGTCCCGAAAGCAGCCCTGGCTACCTGCCTTAGTGAGAGGGTGGAGGGTGGAGGGTCGGAGTGTGTTTCTCTCGGAACCCTGGCTTTCGCCAGAATACCCTTTTAAATTCTGGGGTGAAAGGTGAGTGAGCAGCCTCAACTGTGCCACCCTGTCCCTCGATTCTGAATTCCCTTAATAGACTCAGACCCAGAACTAAGTCAGTGTCACCGTGCCCTCACCTCCACAGCCCGCGCCAATCCCAGAGCTCTCCAGGACCCCGAGTCCAGCAAGCACCCTCGACCCTCCCGATAGGCGCGCCCCGCTGTGCTGTCCGGGCGAGTCTTCTGAACCCTAAGGCAAATCTGAGCTTGAATTCCAACAATAATAAACACCGCCCACTTTAGGCGTGGGCTGGTCGCTGGAGGAGACACGCCCGGTAGGTGGGCGGGGCACGGCTAGGAAAGGGGGAAAAGTTTAGAAACTTCCCGCAGAATTGCACCAGCAGTTTGGAGGCTCAGGGCCTGCGATTGGCAGCGTCTGCAGGAGGCTGGAGCCGGAGCACCCGGTCCGGTACGGGTGCGGTCTGCATCCTGGGCTCCCAGGTGACACTCGCAGCCTTAGCACGGGGGGGGGGGGGGGGGGGCAACTGTGGGAGGATCCTCGCTCAGGGGCACATTCCCGCCTTTCCGGGGACTGCGGCGCAAAGGCCTGGAGTCTACAAGCCTAGGAGCGGATGCGCCCTCGTGCGGAAGCTCAGTCCTCTGAAGACCGACCTGGCCTGGTGGGGGAGCCTGGGAGAAGTGGGTGCCCCAGAGAAAGCGGGGTTCTAACCAGGTTCCTTGAGTGTTCAAATCCAGAAAAACAAAAACAACAACAATAACGAAAACAACCTTGTAAGTACCGGGCAGGCAGTTGGAGACAAGTTACCTTCCTCCCAGGAGAGCCCCATGCTCCTCCAGACGCCTGGGAGCAGAATGGGCAGTGGTTTCTGCGTGGGATGAGGACTGACAGCCACATTCCCAGTACTGGGACAAAGCGGATGTGAGCTCCTCCGGGAGGTTGTGGGGAGGAGACAGGCCTCCCAAAAAGCCCGCACCGCGAAGAATGAGAGCCAGGATTCTCTCCCAGGCACACCCAGAACAAAGTAGGCCTCCAAATGAAGGGCTATCTGTGTTGTTCTCCCAGTATCTGCAATTCTTTTCCTATTCAGACGACAGTATCATAAGTAGCACTGGGCCTCTGATCTCACCTAATAGTATGTTTGGGTGGGGACTCGGGCTGGTCGCTGTAAAGACGTCTTAAAACCGCTGTGGATACAGAGTGGTGCTAGGGCCCACTTTTAATCCCAGCACTCTGGAGGCAAAAGCAGGCGGATCTCTGTGAGTTCGAGGTCAGCCTGGTCTACACAGCAAGTTGCAGGACAGCCAGGCCTACACAAAGAAAACCTCTCTCAAAACACCACTGTGGACAAATCCTCTTTACTAAAGTGAATTGAGCACGACGTGCACCGCAAGTGCTCACGGGAGCAACAAGTCAGTTCACCTCTGCAGCAACTCTAAGCTTAAAGTAGCCCCAGGCTTCTTATCAGAGCCACGGGGGGAGGCTGAGGCAGGAGGAACCCAAGTTCAAGGTCAATCTGGGCTGCACAGCAGGTTCAAAGCACTGTCGAGCAATTTAGTGAGACCCTGTCTCAAAACATAAAATATGAAATACAAAAAAAAAGTAAAAAGGGATGGTTGCATTCTCCAGTTGGTAGAAAGCTTGCCTGGCAATCAGGAAGCCCACATAAATCAGGCATGGTGGCCTGTGCCAGTAATCCCCGCACCGAGGGGTAGAAGCAGGAGACTCAGAAGTTCAAAGTCATCTTCAGCTACATGGTGAGTTTGCGGTCAGCCTGGGCTACGTGAAATCCTGTCTGAAAAAGGAGAAGCTGAGAGCTGGTTAACTACTGGTAGTTAAGAACACTATTGCCAGGTGGTGGAGGCACACGCCTTTAATCCCGGCACTTGAGAGGCAGAGGCAGGCGGATCTCTGAGAGTCTACAAGAGCTAGACCAGGATAGCTAGGGCTGTTACACAAAGAAACGCTGTCTTGAAAAAACTAAAAACAAACAAATAAACATAATAAATAAATGAATAAAATGGCACTTTTCTCCTGGGAGAAGAATATATGGTTCTCGTGAACCATGTTTGGTTCTCGGCACCCACACAGGTTAACTAACAACCACCTTGTAATTCCAGCTCCAGGGGCAGAATAATCAAATAATAAAATAGTTTTTAAGTAAAGGGTTTTGTAGGGACAGTGATGTGACACTTGCCCAGCATGTGTGAAATGCCGGATTCAGTTCCCAGTAATCACACACACGCACACGCGCGTGCGTTAAAGGAAGAAGAAATCTTTGTGTTATTCTCACAAGAAGCTGAGGTTCAGGAAGTTAACTGTCTCAGTTCTCATTTAGAGACCTGTCCAAAGATAGGGACACAATTGTATTACAGCCACCGCCCTGTATGAGGCACCCAAGACCCCTGCGGGAAGAACTTCCTTCTTAAGCCCTTGCTGCTTCAGTGAAAGGCAAGCCTGAAGGATCCACCCATTCTACAGAGCCTGAAACTGAGGCCAAGTCACAGAGTACTCCCCAGTTACTGCTACTTGGGTAACCAGCAGAGCGGGAATCCCAAGTCACAGGTTGTCCTCAAAAGTGGATTCAGTGGGGCCCCCAATGCTCAGGTGTCCTCAGGAGAAAGAGGAAAGATTGGAAAGTGTGCAGCCCCAGGGTTGGGAGTCTCAGGGTGTACCCTGAATCCTCACAAACTCAGAAGGCTTTATTTCTTCTCCCCTCCCTCTTTGAAAAGAGCCTAGCAGAGTCTAGCCCTGTTTCCCCTAGGGGGTGCAGATGGGGGTAGTGTCTGAAGAGAAGGGAGGCTGGGCCTGGTCAGCTGATGCTAAGTGGGGCCCAAAGAGCAGGGCAGGGTTTTCCAAATGACATACTTATTTATAGAGCACCTTGTTCCCAGAAAGGATGGGAAGGCTCCCAAGGAGGCCCTGGGGGCACGTCCACTACCCCACTCACAGCCATCCAGATAGGCAAGATAGACACAGAAATGCCTTCTGAGAAAGTTCTCCCTAACCGTGATGGTAGAGCTGGAACTGCCCCAAACATACACAATTAAAACTTCACAATCCTAAGAAATATCACCTAAGAAACTGGCCTCAAAGCTTACAGGAATGGGATGAAGTTAGACCGATTATGGGGTCAGAATGATGCGGGGGGCGGGGGGGGGAGCTTTGACTGTAGACAGTCTCCCTGGGAGGCA